TAAAAAAAAAAAAAAAAAAAAAAAAAAAAAGAAAAACATAATGAACTACATTCCTAGCGGGCAAGATTTTTTTCAAAAAATGAAAAAAATCATAATCAGTCTAGGTAATAAAAATTAAAAAAAAAAAAAAAAGTTGTAATAATTTTTTTTAATTTTTTACAATATTTTTTTTATTTTATACATTCATTAAAAATTCAAATATTTTTTTTTTTTATTTTTTAAAAGCAATAAATATATATATTCTTAGCATGTGCATATTTGTTTTGTTCTTGTTTTATATGAATAATTATATATTTTAGTAAGAATTTGTTGTTTATTTATTTTTTTTTTTTTTTGATATAATTTAAAATATCTAAACGTTGAGAAGAATTTATGTTTTTTTCAAAAATATTTTTATCATAGTCTAAATAAGAATTAACATCAATAAGTGAAATTCCTTCATTTATGCTTAACTTCGTATTTTGTAAAATATAAGTAGGAATGAATAAAAATTGAAAAGAAAAAAATAAGGTAAATATAAAACTGTCATCATCTATTTTCATTTCAAATGTTTTATTCTTAAAAATATCTTGAAAATATTCTATTATATTTTCTTTTAAAATGGAAAATTTTTCTTTATGAGACAAATTATTTTCAAAAAAAACATTAGAATTATCTATGAAAAAATTTTCATTATTTCTTAAGCATACATCTATTAAATTCATTTTTAGTGCATCATTTGCATTTATTACTTGATTTGTTAATAATAAATATTTAGAATAATTCATTTGAATATTTCTAAATAGTTTTTGAGTACTACCTCCATAAGGAAATAAACCAATATAAGTTTTATCAAATCCAAATTTGCTTTTTTCGTTTGAGATTCTAAAATCAGTAGATAATATTAAATCTATTCCACTATTTATACATAATCCGTTTATGTTGCTTATTGTTATCAGTGGTAAATTCTGAATATTATTACATAAGTATCTAAAAGAATTTGATATATTAGAATTTGTTTCTTCATCGTTTTTTAAATAAGAATTATAATCTAATGAATTTAAAAAAGTATTATCATTTATTATACTATTAATAATTATTATTTTTAACTTATTATCATAATAAGGAATTCTATTTTTTATATTTTTTATCAAGTAATTATCTTTATTTTTAAACTCTTTTATATAAAAAGTATTATTTTCTTCATTAGAAATTATATTATTTATATGCTCTATTACATTTTTTAATTCATCTAAAAATTCATGAAAAATATTTATTTTATCATTTATATTTTTGAAGGTTATTATCCCAATATTCCTAGTTTCATCTCTAAAGAAATCAACATACTTATGTTTAGTAAAACAGCTATTTTCCTTATTTTCATCTATTACATTAATTGTATGAAAGCAATTAAAGTTTTTTTTATATCCTATTAATTTATAATCACATTTCTCATTCTCTTTTATTATTCTTAATATTCTTTTATTAGATACAATGTTTAAAAATTTTTTTATCATTTTTTTTTTTTTTTTTTTTTTTTCAA